TCACTGCTGCCCTCTGGTGTTTTAAACTGCTCCTTCTCCAACCACTTACTGGATTCCTCCTATGCTCTTACTTCTAATTGCTTTTTTAATTAGCGTCTATGGACATGTGCAGATGCCCTTGGCAACCTGTTGGTTTTAAGTGGTTTTGCTCCCCCATACTCATTCCATGTATGTGGTTATCTCTGTTTCTCTCTGTTTTGTGGGAGTCCCGAGCAGGTGGAGTCTGCTGGTCTCTCCTTATACCATCTTATCAGCAATAAACCACCTACCATATATTTTTTTTGAATAATAATTGAGTAAGAGTCCATGCCCTCTTGGTAGGTGGCTTTTTTGTCCCCTAACGGGACACAGGCTCCATCAGGGAGAGCTGGCCTAGGATCTCTCTCCCAGAAAATTAACCCACATCAGGAAAAATTTAGAGCTTATTACAATACCTCTTTCCAGTGCTCACCATGGAGAGAATTATTTCAATGGAGAGATAAACTTTGCTATGGCTTACTTTAAACAAACAAACAGAGGCAATCTTATTACCTTGTAGATATACTTGGATTTTATTTGTTTTTGATGTTTTAAAATCCCAATAACGATGTTCTGTCAATGTGATCAGTTCTTTATTCAACAGAATTGCCTCTTAATGACTTTTGGTCATTTTCCAAGATGAAATCTCCTCTTAACTGAAAATGGTTTATTCCCACTGAGGATTTTCAAAAGAACACCCCTTGTACTGTGTGCCGTGAGGGCTGGCACAGCCGGGCATTGCTGAGAGCCCTTGACTCCAGCTCTGCGAAGGTGTGGGCAGCTGCTGTGTCCTGGCCGGCGCCCAGGCCTCTCCCTGCCAGTGTGCCCTCTCTGGAGGCAGACCCAGCCGGCTTTGTGGTAGTGGGGAGGGGAGTGGAAGGGAATGAGCAGGGCCTGCCTGCTTCCCACCCAGAGCCAAACAGAAGAGAGAGGAAAGTCGCCCTGCCTTTCCTAAGAAAAAAAAACAGAAGCCAAGGTAAAAAATAGTAACATTATGCCTTTATTTACTCAGAATCCAGATGTGAAGGAAAGTGGGAAGAAATCACATGGACGATCCCTCATGACCAACTTTGGAAAACATAAGGTATGAATTAAGAATAATACATATGCATAATTTAATTAATGTAATGATTTTGGAAGGTAACAGGAGACTATCATCGTGACCTAGCAATAACTGAAGGTTTCTTAAACAGGACCCCAGGAAAGGAGAAAACTGACATGTAAACTTCTTTAAAATTCAAGAACTTCTATTCATCAAAAGTATCAAAAATCAAGTTGCATACTGTGAAAGCATGTTTTAAATATACCATATCCAATAATAAATATGCACATCTAAAGTGTATTTAATACTTTAAATATATATAATAAGTATGTTATATGTTCTATCCTGGATATATAAATGGCTCCTACAAGTCAATAAAAAAGCAACCTAATTTTTTAAAAAATGGGCAAAGGATTTAAACGGGCACTTCACCAAGGTATCCGAAGGTATCCAAATGGCTAATCAAGAAAAGGGGCTCACCCTTATCAGTTATCTGAGAAATACCAATTAAAATGATAAAGAGATTCCATGTACATCCAGCACACACCACAAAGACAGCAATAAGCAAGCGTGAGTGAGGATGTTGAACCACTTGAACTCTCTCACACACTTACACATCGGTACGTTTGTGTAACTGATGCTTCCCAGCTTAGCAGTTCCATTGTTAGGTATGTGTCAGAAGACAGAAGCAACAATATTTACAGTGGCATTCTTAGTAAAAATACAAATAGGAAAACTGTAAAACAGTTTAAATATCCATCAACAATAGAGTGAATAAAAATTGTAGGATAGTCACAGAAGAGAATACTTAGCCACGAATGTGAAAACATTGTAACCATGCAGTGATATCATCTTTATAAACATGATGTTGAACAAAATAAGCCAGGAAAGCATATACCATATACCATCTATATGTAGTGTGATGTCATCTATAGGAAGTTCACAACCAGGCAAAAGATACTCTAGAGCAGAAGTCAGTATGGTCATTAGTTTTGGAGAGAAAGTTGCAACTGAATGGGAATGGGAAGAAGAGGCCTTTGGTGGGAGGCAAGTAATATTTCATTGCCTCACGTGGGTGGTTTCACTTTGTGAAAAGTCATCATGGATGTACTTTTTAAAATGTATGTTACATTTCAATAAAAAGGCAAAAAAAAAAGTTATACGAAAAATCAGTTATTAGATGATGAGCTTTACATTATATGTGACTGTGTGGTGTTTTCTACTTTAAGGAATGGCTTATCTGGAATTTTCTGCCTGTCAATGAGATAATTTATTAATAGGCTGGGCAAATTAGTCCTTATAACAAAAAAGGACACAACTGAAATGTTCACCCATAGAGACTGCTTACGTATACTATGACTCATCTACATAACAGACAAGACAATCGCTCTGAGGAGCTCAGTGTACACAACATTAAATGGGAAAAGTAAGATACAAAGTGGATGATATGGTATGATGACTATGATGCGTCAGAACTGTAGGTACAGAAAATGTATCATTTCCCTAAATGCCATCTGTCATTGATGACTCATTTCTTATTTCTACTTATTGTATTTTATAATATAAATGAATTTTAAAGAGAAATTAATTGTATAACTCACATGTGGAATTAGAGAATATTTCATTTCTGTATTACAACTTGTCATTAAAATTAAAATTATTTTTTGAAGTAAATGTTTTAAGGGAATATTTCATCTACTATAAAATTCAAATTTATGATGCCTCAAGGCATAGGAATAATAGCTATCCATGAGACCTTTTGTAGATTATTTTAATAAATATCGACAGTATTTTGAATTGAAAGTTAATGTTCTATAGCTTATAGAATGACTTTCTGTGCAATTTCATTTAATCACCATAACAATAGTACTTTGAAATAGCTGTTATCACCATAACCTTTTAAAAAACACTTGAGGACGTTAGAGAGGTTAACCAATTTACCAGCTTGGTGAAAGGGTGAGCTGGAATGTGAACTCCTTGGAAGGAAGGCTCCCCGACCCTGGGTACTGAGGTTCTCAGGCGTAAATAATCTGCTATGAAGGGCAGGGTCAGAATTGCAGCTGAGAAGGCTCTAAGCCAAACTGGCACCTCACTGTTAGTGCAGTCAAGAGTTGAGTGTGTTTATGCCAATAGTGTAGCTTTCTGTTTTGTTGTTGTTGAGTATGAGAAAATCTGGAAGGAGACTTGGTCCCATGGTAATGCAGGGATAGAATCCCTTTCCCTTTCTAAGCCATTTCCCCAGATGTCCAGAGTACTCTAAGTGTCTCACCTTTCCTTACACAAACTGTATTATTGTTGGCAACATTTTCTGCAACTATTTGCGTGGTCTCTTCCCATCATTTTTTTTTTCTTTTTTTGAGACAGAGTCTCACTTTATTGCCTTTGGTAGAGGGCCATGGCATCAGAGCTCACAGCAGCCCCCAGCTTTTGAGCTTAGGCGGTTCTCTTGCCTCAGCATCCCAGGTAGCTAGGACCACAGGTGCCCACCACAACGCCCAGTTATTTTTTTGTTGCAGTTTGGCCAGAGCAGGGTTCGAACCTGCCTCTCTTGGTATATGGGGCTGGCGCCCTACTCAATGAACCACAGGCGCCGCCCACTCTCCCATCATTTATATAGACTATGTGATGCCTAAACATCGAGGGTATCTCTGAATTGGTGGGGAAGGAACCACATCGTCCCAAAAAGGTTTTATGTCAAACAGCTAATCTTTCTGGAAAATACCAGTTTAGTTCTGGAGGTTTTTCAGCCTGTACCCAGTGGGTAGCAATTTTTATTCTGCTGCTAAAAATGAAAATGGGTTAAAATCTCAAAATGGCAGTTTGATTTGGATGGTTATTTGAGTATATACTGATAAAAGGCAAGAATGGTAGTTATTCTTTTTTTTTCTTTCTGAGACAGGGTCTTGCTCTGTAGCACAGGTGTGGTCATAGCTCACTGTAGCCTCCACCTCCTGGGCTCAAGCAATCCTTCTGCCTCAGCCTCCAAGTAGCTGGAACTACAGGTGCCCACCACCCCTCCTGACTAATTTTTAAAAAATTTTTATAGAGGTGAGTTCTTACTATTACCCAGGCTGATCTTGAACTCCTGGGGGCTCAAGCTTTCCTCCTGCCTCAGGCTCCCAAAGTGCGAGGATTGTAGTTGTGAGCTTCCGTACCTAGTCAGTTATTCCTTATTTTTTTTTAAAGCTACTACATGCTTTTTAAAACAAAACAAAACAAAACAAATCTACCTTTTTAAATCCATTAATCAATAGTGATCTGACTTTACACAAAGGCATTTTTCCCCCATATAGTCACTAAGTAGACTGACTTTGATCCTACCCCTTGTAGACATCTTCAAATTCATGACTAATAAACTTAGTTTCTAATACCTCAGTTTTATGTGGCATGGAAGTCAGTTTCTGAGCAGGAAACCCTCAGTTTTGCATTAATATTTTAATATAATTATGGCCTTGGACACAGGAAGATCTAACAATTAAGTTTGTAAAGTTGCCACTGAGGCCTTACATTGGCATCACTGTACAAACAACTCAGGAAGGTTTCATAACCTTGGTATATCAGTGTCTCTTAGCTATGTTCATGTTGATGTATGCTGGTGTCTTGCTAAGAGGTGTTCGTGATTGTTGTTTTTTTTTTGTGTGTGGCCTTGGGAGAATGTCAGAGCAATGAACAAACATTCATCAATTTCTTGTTAAACTTGGCAAGAGTGGAAGTGAAATCATTGACATGTTAGTCCAAGCTTCTGAAAACAATGCTGTGAAGAAAACAGCAGTGTGTGAATAGATGGAACATTTTTCTGAGGGGAGAGAAAATGTCACTGATGAAGAGAGGGGTCAGGGTGACCGACAATAAGCAGAACTGATGAAAACATGGCAAAAATTCGTTGAATTGCCCATCAAAACCATCTGCTGACTGTGAGGAGAGCAGACCAAGGAAACACTGATAAACAGGAAAATCTTGGCCAGCAACTCATGCTCTAGCATCATGACAATATACCAGCTCACATGGCACTGTCTGTGAGGGAGTCTTTAGCCAGCAAACAAATTATAGTGGATCACCCTCACTACTCACCTGATCTGGCTCCCCATGACTTTTTTCTGTACCCTAAGTTAAAGGAAATATTGAAAGAAAGACATTTTGATGACATTCAGGACATCGAGGGTAATACGATGATAGCTCTGATGGCCATTCCACAAAAAGAGTTCCAAAATTGTTTTGAAGGGTGGTCTAGGCACTGGTGTCAGTGCACGGCTTCCTATGGGGAGTACTTAGAAGGTGACTGTAGTGATATTCACCAATCATGTATGTACCAGTTTTTCCAAGGATGAGTTCTTGAATTTAATTGTCAGACCTTGTACTTGTTGTGAAGGGTAAAGCAAGCTGCGGTAGCTGGTCATCCCCTCACCCCCAGTTATTGTACTTATATGTATGTGTGTTTTTAAAGCCCTGTCTGTTCTCTACATGTTATTGATGTACCTCCTGCAGGGAGTTTGTTAAGCTTACTATAATTTTTCTGGCAGAAAACTACAAAATCACGGTCTAAATCTTATAGTACTGATGATGATGAGGATACACAGCAGAATCCTGGCAAGGAGGGTGGCCAGCTGTACAGGTAAGAAAGCATCTCTGTTTCTTGCTGAGACTCGTGGGGCCCTTCCACCCCCGTCAGCTTGGTTGTTTTCCTTATACCTATCCAGAGAATTGGGTCCCAAGATACAGTCCTCAGTGCCATGTGGGACATTTGAAGAATTGGATGTGAGACGCTTATCTAGGGAGCTTAGCACTGTGCCTGGCACATAACAAGCTCTTCTGCAATGTGGGCTGTAGCAGTTGTCAAGTAAACGGCATCCTTAGAGAAGAGGAAGAGGGCCACACAAACCAGTACCAAGGACTATCTCAGAGGACTAAAGGAGAAGATAGGTACTGAGCATGTGTCAGGGATTTGAAATCAGGCAGACTTCAAATTATTTTTCCTCTACTCACCAACTTTACATGGGACAAGTTAGGCTCCTCTTGAACACCTATCCCTTAGGGTCATTGTAAGGATTAAAGGAATTAAACCAATTGGCTCCATAGCCCTGGCCCAATTAAATAAGTGCTCCCCAAATTAGCTACTGCTATCTTTATTATTACCAATAGTTTTTGTGATGAGTAACATGCTGTATTTTCAGAAATTATGACACATGATCCGATATAGGACTTTTGGACCATTTATTAATACCATAAGTCTCACAGAGAAATGTCATTTATATTACTGATTGATATGGATGCATACACATGCATCTTTGCCTTGATTGGAAGATGAAATGGGAAGCATAGAGGCCCTGTAGAATTAATCTTTCATGTTCAATTAAACTTTGTATTTGAACTCCAACAGAATATATATACATAAAATAGTAACTCATTAATGAAGGCAGAGGAGGTATATGTGGTCCCTACCCTTAGGGAACAGAAAATTGAATGGACTATAGTAAGGGGTAAAAGAGAAAGAGGACCACCTTTTGGGAGACCCCTGCTATGCATGCTTTCAAATATAAGTTTGAGAAAGGCTTAACTATGAAACATATGGCCAGGGAAAGGACAATGTTTGGGAAAGCCTCGATAATGTGTACAGATGGGCTATTGCTAAGGGCATCTCATGAAGTCCTGTTGCATGCTGCTCTTGTGTTAATTATAGATTTGCCAATAATAGCTACCGGGGCCTACGTGTCTATCATGGTGCCCTTTGGGATTTCAGTATCTTAATCCATCTCCAGGATGAGAACTAAAAAGAGATAACTTCATGCTGAATTTCTCCATATCATGGAGTGTCTTATAGTTTTACTTGTAATTTTTAGGTATAGCTTCACATTGGTATATAATCATCAGCCTTCACACAACCAGATTTTCACCAGTAGCTATAGAATTTCCTAAAAAAGAGAAACAGTGTATATTCTTTTTTTCCGTTGATTTTTATACCTACGTTCCTGTCTACATTCTTAGAGAAATGAACTATTATTCTCATTTTTTTAATTTTTATTTTTATTAAATCATAGCTATGTACATTAATGTAATCATGGGGTACAATATCCTGGTTTTATATACAATTTGAAATATTTTCATCAAACTGGTCAACATAGTCTTCATGGTATTTTCTTAGTTATTGTGTTAAGACATTTATATTCTACACTTAGTAGATTTAACATGTACCCTTGCAAAATGCACGTAGGTGTGGTCCCACCAATTACCCTCCTTCTACCCATCCTCCCCCATCCCCTCCCCTCCTTGTCCCCTTTCCCCGTCTTGGTTTCATGGTAGGGCTGAGTACATTGGATACTTTTTCTTCCATTCTTGAGATACTTTGCTAAGAATAATATGTTCCAGCTAAATCCATGTAAACATGTAAGAGGTAAAGTCTCCATCTTTCTTTAAGGCTGCATAGTATTCCATGGTGTACATATACCACAATTTATTAATCCATTTGTGGGTCAATGGGCACTTAGGCTTCTTCCGTGACTTAGCAATTATAAATTGGGTGTCCTCATTTTTTTAATTGCCTGTATATAAGCACCATTAGGGCAGGGCTACTTGTATGATTTGTTCACTATTTTATCTCCAATAGGCGCTCAATAAATATTTGTTGAGTAAATAAATCACTAGAACATTCCCCCTCACCAAACAAAAGCTCTTTATTCAGGAGCAATTACTCCAACTCACTCAGTCTCTGGCAACCACTAACTTCCTTTTTGTCTGTATAGTTTTGCCTTTTCTGCACATTATGTATAAATAGAATCATATAATACTTGGACCTTTTGTGTTTGGCTTTTTTTACTTAGTATAATGTTTTCAAGATTCATCCCTGTTGTCCCATTTGTCAGTACTTCTTTCCTTTTTATTCTAAATGATTGTCTCTTCTATGGAGACATTTCATTTTATTTTTTCATTCCTGAGTTCAGGAACCTTTGGGTTATTTTCACTCTTTGGCTCTTATGGCCGATATTTCTGTGAGCATTCACGCAAGTTTTTATGTGGACACGTGTTTTTATTTCTCTTGAGTGTGTACCTAGAAGTAGAATTCTTGGCTAATAGGGTCACTGTTTAAATAGGGTAACTGTTTTTGAGCAATTGCCGGAACGATTTTCCAAGGCAATGTATCACTTTATATTCCTCAGCAATATACAAGGGTTCCAATTTTCCCTCATCTCTGTCAACACTTGCTATTGTCTGCCTTTAGTGGCATTTCACTGTCATCTGGTTTGCACTTCCCTAGTGACTAATGAGGTTTACACCTTTTCCTGTGCTTATTGGCCATTTGTGTATCTTCTTTGTATTTGTGATAGTTGGATATTCCCTCAGAAGTTGGGTGTGCACAGGAGTGTAGGGTGAGTCTGTGGAGGACATCACTGGGGTAGAGAGTAGTGGTACAATTTGTAAGGTTGTACAGGAGATATCAGGAGTGGTTTGTCAGAGAGGGAGAACTTAAAAAAATGTAAGAGGAAAAGGCACTAAAGTGATGCATATTTTTTAAGGAAGTTAAAGAATATAGGAAAAGTATAAGCAGAAAATAAAAATCACTCGTAATTATATCTCTAACAAGAATCCCTATAGAAATTTGGCATATTTGTCCTCAGGTGACAAATTTTTGTGACCTAGAAGGCAGTGTTTCTGTATCATTTTTGCCCAGTTTCTCCTCTCTGCAGAGGTTCCCTGGTGAAATCTGGTGTTGTTCCCTAGCTGGGTGACAGTGGGATTCAAGCCCTGCACAACAGAGCTTGCAGATGCATGAGAAGAGGCTGTGATTCCCGGCAGAGCAGTGAATAAAACCACAGCACAACAGTCCCCCCTTATTCATGAGGAACACGTTTTAAGACCCCCAGGATGCCTGATAGCATGGACAGTACTAGACTCTACATGGACAATATTTTTTCTTTGCTTATTAAGTTGGGACCTTTCACCTCTTCACTGAAGGGAGGCACTTACTTTATGGTTTCTCTTTGGCTTATACCAATTATCAACATCACTACTTTTGCACTTTTTGGCCATTATTCAGGAAGATAAGGTTGACTTGAACATAAGCACTGTGATACGGTCAATCTGATACCCAGATGGCTATCAAGTGACTGATGGGTACAGTGTACAGCATGAACGTGCCAGAAAAAGGGATGATTCGTGACCTGGTGGGACAGAGCAGGATGGCACAAGATCTTATCACCCTATTCAGAGCGATGCACAATTTAAAACTTATACATTGCTCATTTCTGAAATTTCCCATTTACTATTTTCAAACCATAGATAATTTAGACCCTAGAAAGTGAAATTGAGGATCAAGGGATGGGAGGGGGTCTATGACAGCAGGATTTTGGGGTGGAAAGAGTACGGAATGGGAATCACACAGGTTCTAATCCCGGCTCCCTTGATCATCTTAAATAGGGAAGGTGGAGTAAGGAAAAGCCCAGACCTCCCTCCGCTCCCACACGTCATGATCCCTGGGTGTGTCCTTCACAGGTTGGGGCGCCGAAGGAAGACCATGAAGCTCTGCCGGGAACTCTCGGATCTGGTTGTGTACACCAACTCCGTGGCCGCCCAGGACATCGTGGATGATGGTAAAGATGGAGAGTTTTTTCCTTTAGCTCTGGATAAATATTCTTAACCTTTCTTTTGTCAAAGGTTAATTAATCTTTTGTTAATCTGAGCATCACCACACATTGCTGGGACTGTGTAGAAATCAATTTAGGCGCATTATGTAAAGCTGGGCTCACAAGGAGGGCTCTACTGACTACTGAGGTTGCCTGATTGGCTAGGTTAGAGAAGTTTCCCACAGGGCTAAGGAGGGCTTTATTATTATAAAAAGACAAGTGCATCAGGGCAAGGTCTTTCTCCAATGCTTGAACTGCGGAGACTTGCCCTGGCTTGAGGACCAGCTTGCAGATGACCACCCCAACTGTGAATGAACAAAAGAAAAAGAAATTAATCAGCTAAATCACACCATGAAATGCCCTCTATGTTCTTATTGGAAGTTATGACTTTGATGAAAATAGCTAAATCCAGATTGAACTTTTTTTTTTTTGAAACAGAGCCTCAAGCTATCCCCCTGGGTAGAGTGCTGTGGCATCACAGCTCACAGCAACCTCCAACTCCTGGGCTCAAGTGAATCTCCTGCCTCCACCTCCCAAGTAGCTGGGACCACAGGTGCCTGCCACAAAGCCCAGCTATTTTTTGGTTGCAACCATCATTATTGTTTGGCGGCCTGGGCTGGATTCAAACCCGCCACCTTAGGTGTATGTGGCTGGGCCCTTAGCCACTTGAGCCACAGGCGCCGAGCCCAGATTGAACTTTTAACAAAAAGAGCAGAAATCGCAGTGCATTGGCTCTTTCACTGTTTCCCCCTCAGTTGCCATATTGAGCTGAGAAACCCTAGTTTCAGCTTTTCGTACCCTTGACTTTGCAGCTAGTTGCTCTGTTTCCCTTTATGTTCTATTCCGTTTAGTTACGGAATGCTCACAAAAATAACCGGCTGTCGTATGGCTTTTCATCTAATTTTAATTTTAGCAGAACTGAAATGTAAATCAGAACCTCCCTGAAATATAAATTAGAGCCCCTGATTTTCTCAACAAGTCTTAGTGAAGGGACAACGACATTGTGGTGACTCGTGTGTCCTCACAACCGCCCAGGATTCTCCTCCTGGATCTTGTCCCACTCCTCCCCTCCAGGTCCCCAGCGTGTCTCTTTCTATTTACAGAAAGATGTCTTCTTTGGCGTGTTGAATCCTTCAAATGGTGAAAATGATACAAGATTTAAATTAATTTCACATGTGAGAACATGAGAGCCTGTAGGATTTTCAGCCACACAGTCTTATAAGTACTGTCCACAGCTCAGAAATAAACTCTCAGTTGAATGAAGTGAAGGCATATTTGGTTTAGGGAATACACATTTTCAATAAATGCCTTCGGAAACCATAATCCTATTAGCTTAACGCAAGTTAAGCTTGAGTACTCTTTAGCTCTTGAACTTCAGCTGTTTTTGTCTCTTTGGTTTTTGTTTTGTTTTGCTACAAAATGAGAACTAGGTAATGAATGCACAGCTTATCCCAATGCAAAGCAACTCAGCTCTATTAATATACGAATTCATTTGTGCCTAATTAGCAAGGTCATCTTAATGATAACTGCGGTGTGCATAAATTTATGTGGAGAGACAGAAAAACAATGGAATTAATTACAGTGATTCTCCGTCTGAATTAGGTTTGTGACAAAGATTATAATTTCTCGCACCATGTTAAAGGCATTCTTCATCAGAATCTGCACATAAGTTCAATTTTAGTGTGCTTGAGATATGTAAACTAGTAAGTTATGTCACTAGACTATATATGACTATATGTCTTTAAGGAGAGGTTCTATATCTATGCTGGAGAAATCTTCCCATTAAAAACTGTGATTCTCTAATTTTTTTTTCAACACTTGTGTTTATGACTGTTGCAAGTTCCAGCTCTGGAGTGTCATTGTCCGTTGGCCAGTGTCTAACATCTAAGGGTGCACAGCCCTGAGGACGGCGGGGCCCTGGGAGACTGTGTGTGCTGATGAACAGGCAGGGTAGATATATTCGGGCCCAGTTGGGTCAGCAGCGAGTTCCACTCATTGTCTCTGTGGACTGCGTCTCTCAGTCCGCGGTCAGACACACCCAGCTGGTTAGCGTAGAAGCTCTTGGTGAGTCTGGGCTGTTACGTACCCTGGCCTTTTCCAGCGGGCCCAGATGGATTATTCTGGGGTTAGGGTGTGCGTGCTTGGTGAAGGATGGGGAGTGGGAGGGGTCTTATAGATTTGGTACAAAAGGTGGGATTGGGAGACAAGGGTGAAACATCCAGTGTCGGAGGCTCACCTCTTCATCTTGATCCCCAGCTTCCGTGGCCTGAGATCGAGCCCTCACGGTGATTGTCGGCGCAGGAGTGTTGGGACAGGCTTAGTGGGCTTTTACTTCCCTTTATTTTTTCCCCATAGTTCGTATGTCTGGTTGGGTGGGTGCTTATCTCCAGTCCTGAAATGTTTAGTTCTTTATGATGCCTTTTAAACTTTTTCTCCATTGTTACTCCTTTCTCCAGAACAGGTCTTGACTAGTTCTGTAATGCTATTCAGATGCATTTAAAACTCATTGTCTCTTTTTTCTAACTGATCTTTTTCTTTTATTTGTGTGAACCCTGAATGTTATAAGTTAGTATGTGTTTTATACGTGTGCCTTTTGGCTGAGTGCCTATAATGAGTGTCTTTCTATTATGAGGAATAAATTAAGTGGAGGGTTTTATTTATCCCTGACTGTTGCTTTCTTTGGCAAAGGTATTCTGTTTGAATTGTGTACTCAGAAAATAATTTTTCAACCTGCCCTCTTTATGCTAGTCAGATAGACATAAATCAGGGGATGACTGTATTCTTGGGGAGTGTGAGAGTCAGAAGTAGACAGCTCCCTTAACAAGGTGCGCAGCTCTGATCTGGTCTCTTGGTGACAAAGGGGTCCTGAGAATGGCGTTTGATGGGTCTTTCTTGGACAGGAGCTGCCTCTGTTTTGGTTGGGTCCACCCTTGCTCTGCTTTTCACTCCTGGTATAATGTGACATTATTGTCAGGTCTTTTGTGAGTGCTGTTTCCTTTGCTCTAGTTCTCACTTGTCTTTTCCTTTGTTAAAAACTGCCAGGAACCACGGGGAACGTGTTATCATTCAGCGAAACAAGAGCACATCAGGTGGTTCAGCAGAAGTCAGAGCAGTTCATGATTTATAACCAAAAGCAGCTCACGAGGATTTACCCCTCTGCCTACCGCATAGATTCCAGCAACTTCAACCCTCTGCCCTACTGGAACGCAGGGTGCCAACTAGGTGCGTATGGCTCCAGACCGAGCGGCTCTTTGTATATTCTGACCACCCTGCCACCTTGCCTAATTCTCTCAAACCTTCACCTTGCGCAGTGGCACTGAACTATCAGTCTGAAGGCCGAATGATGCAGTTAAATCGAGCCAAATTCAAGACAAATGGCAACTGTGGCTACGTCCTCAAACCCCAGCAAATGTGCAAAGGTGTGCATTAATCTCACAGACAGATCTCTGCATGCAGGTGACCTGTTAAAAACACTGTTTAGAAAGTGCAATACTCCAGTGCTTTGAAACATTATATATTTTTTAAATGCTATATTTTTTAAAAAGACAGGTTAAGGTGTTTGAATACAATTGAGAACCCTGTCAGAACTATTACTATTTGGGTAACAAGATGTTTAGAGTGTGACCTAGTAAGGTTATGCACATCAAGAGGTCATAAACGGCAAGGCCTTGTTATCTGAGATCCAGTGTCCCAGCACGATATTCACTGGGCATGACTTATATACAAACTGGACTGTCCTCAGAGTTCTGTGCCCTGTCTCTCAGAAATTATCTTAGGGGTGGGAGTCTGAGACCTGCTGACAAAATTAATGTCATCTGAGATCCAGTGTCCCAGCACGATATTCACTGGGCATGACTTATATACAAACTGGACTGTTCTCAGAGTTCTGTGCCCTGTCTCTCAGAAATTATCTTAGGGGGGTGGGAGTCTGAGACCTGCTGACCTGAACAATTTTTATCAAGCTCTTTCAGTTAGTGTAGTGCGATTGCCAAACAGCATTAACAAAAAAGGAGAAAGGGCACAATAGTATTAGATCAAACAATGCTTCCTTTTGGTTCCCCTCATCTAAAAAAGAAATTTCTTTTTTTAATTTCCAAAACAGCTTTGTCACAATTCTGGTAAAGTGTTGACAGATGTTTTCAGGGTTTGATGCTTTGGGTAGATTCTTGCTCTGCTGTTTGTTACACTCATTCTACACCCGAGACAGGTTGGGTTTGAAAATGTATTTGACTCTCACATAACGGCTCTTCTTGTTAGGCTGTTTGTGTTCAAATCAAGTGCAGCTCGTCTCCCATGTCACAGTTGGTCACTGCAGTGCAGACACTTGCTTTAAATTGGCTCATTCCCCCAGCCTTTGGGAGCACGGATTCTAGTAAAAACCATAGCTAAGGAAATGCCAGTTGGTGACACCTCTAGGCAGAAGCCACACAGATAGTGATGTGATAATGTCTTTGCTCTAAGAAGCGCTGTAGTAATTCAGCACTTGTTTCTTTGTTTCACAACTGTAAGGTGTGTGCGCGCGTGTGTGCACGTGTGTGCGCGCGTGTGCGTGTGTGCATGAGCTTTCTTCCCGTGTTACCAACCTCTGCTTTGTTTGGCCTAGGTACTTTCAACCCTTTCTCTGGTGATCCACTTCCTGCCAACCCCAAAAAGCAGCTCATCCTGAAAGTGATCAGTGGACAGCAACTCCCCAAACCTCCAGATTCCATGTTTGGAGACCGGGGTGAGGTAAGCTATATGGGACCATGTGTCTAGGGGATTAGTCACGTGATTATTTTATTGTGTTTACTTTTTACCTGACGTCTTCAGGGTTGTGTGTGTCTGTATATTTAGACGTGAGCACTGATCTCAGCTCATCAGACATTAACTGGTTTATTGTCGAATCCTGCACGGTTCCTGCTGGACCTCAGTGCATTGTGTGTTTTGGAGGCATGAGTGCACGTGATTTAATTTACATTTCAAGACTGATGCTGGCAATGGTAAAATTAGGGTGCAAAGTTCAATTTTATTAATAGAAACATTGCCTAAGGTTCTGGCCTAATCTCCCATCCATATTCCTCATCCCTACTACACAGCAGCCACCTGCTCATTGCCAATGTCTTCTGCTGCAGCTCTGCATTTAAACCTCTCCCTCTGGGACCACAGCCTCCTTTCTTCCCAGAGCTTTTATTCTTTTATTTTTTTTTTTGAGACAGAGCCTCAAGCTGTCCCCCTGGGTTGAGTGCTGTGGCATCACAGCTCACAGCAACCTCCAACTCCTGGGCTCAAGCGAGTCTCCTGCCTCAGCCTCCCAAGTACCTGGGGTCATAGGCGCCTACCACAATGCCTGGCCATTTTTTTTTTTTTTTCCGGTTGCAGCCATCATTGTTATCTGGCGAGCCTGGGCTGGATTCAAACCTGCCACCTTAGGTGTATATGGCTGGCCCCTTAGCCACTTGAGCCACAGGCGCCGAACCCAGAGCTTTTATTCTATTATTTCCATCGCCCCTGTTTCTTGGCCTCCGTCTTTTGTTGTTTTGTTCATTTATTTATTTTTGGAGTGAGTGTCTTGCTCTGTTGCTCAGGCTAGCATGTAGGGGCATGTTCATAGCCAACTGCAACCTCAAACTCCGGAGCTCAACCAGTCCTCCCACCTCTGCCTCTCAAAGTGCTGGGATCACAGTGTGAGCCACCTAGCACGGCCTCAGCCTCGGTCACCTGTCTCCCCACAGGTCCCTCCTGAGCTCATGTCCCTCCTCTCAGGGCTTGTTCTTTATACCAGTACTCTTTTTACTACTCCCACCTATTAGACCATTACTTCTGGACCTTGATGGAGGGGACCACAGAGCTCTGTAAGAGGCCACCCCCACAAACCCTCCAGCTGAACTATCAGCCCATGCGTGGCTCTGCTCTGCCATTCCAGTCCCACCTTAGTGCTCAGTCCCATTTCCCACAGGGGCTGTTCCCAATCTTCTCTCTGTCCTCATCATCTTCAACAGAGGCCATGATGTCCCACTTCTCAGACAGTAGAGCCTCAGGTGGGACCGGCCAACATCGTGTCTTGCTGCCCCTGCTGCCGCTGCCCCTGCTGTCTGCTCTCCCTGCCGCCCTTCCACCCGGCATCCTGTTCTCTGAGCAGCAAGCGCGATTCATTGGTGGTATCAGAAATTTAGGGGCCTTTCTTGTACTTTCCTTTCTTCTTTTTTGTCTTCAGAAAGGAAGACTCACTTCCATATATTCTCCCAAACTTTTATTTTAAAATGTTTTGAACTTCAGGCCAGGTGTGGCTCATACCTGTAATCCTAGCATCTCTCTTTGAGGTTGACACAGGAAAATCATTTGAGTCCAGGAGTTCAAGAATAGCCTGAGTAGTAGTGAGACTCCTGTCTACACAAAAAATAGAAAAATTAGTCTGGCATGGTGGCAGGTACTTATAGTCTCAGATACTCAGGAGGCTGAGGCAGGAGGATCACTTGAGCCCGGGAGTTTGAGGTTGCTGTGAGCTATGATGACACCACTGCACTCTAGCCTGGGCAACAGAGCAAGACTCTGTCTCAAAAGAAAATAAAAGTGTTTTAAACTTCAGAAAAGTCACAATGGCAGTAAAATAAATTACCCAGAACAACCATTCCGTTATTAAATTTTGTTACACTTGCCTTACCTCTCTTTTCTTCTTTAAAAATTAATTTAGTGTTTGTTTATTTATTTATTTATTTATTTGAGACAAAGTCTCAAACTGTCACCCTGGGGTAGAGTGCTGTGATGTCACAGCTCACAGCAACCTCCAACTCTTGGGCTTAAGCAATTCTCTTGCCTCAGCCTCCCAAGTAGCTGAGACTAAGGGGACCGGCTATTTTTTGTTGTTATTGTTGTTGTTGCAGTTGTCATTGTTTTCTTAGCTGGCTCAGGCTGGGTTCAAACCCACCAGCCCCAGTGTATGTGGCCGGCGTCCTACCCACTGAGCTACGGCACGGCCCTTACCTCTCTTTCTTCTGGGTACCTGTGTGTATGTGTGGGCGTACATATCTGCTTCTCTTTGGAGAGTCCTTTGAGAGCCAATTGTTGACATCATGATGCTTAATCCCTAAATGCCTCTCCGTTTTTATTGTAAGATGGGGGACATTTTCCTGTATAACCACAGTGCAGTCATTACCCTTGTGAAATTTAACATTGGTACAGCAATATTACCTAATCTAAAAAGATCACATGTTGTTTTTAGTTATCATTTCCGCAGTGGCTGCTCCCACCCACTTGGTCGTTGGTCTTTTAAGATCTAGAGTAATTCTTCCACCTTTTTGCTTTGTTTTCATGACACGGGCTTTTTTAAGGGTCCAGGCTGGTTGTTTTCAGAATGTCCTTCGATGTGGGTTTTCCTGTTCTTCGTGATTAGAGTCAGAGTAATATATTGGCAGGAATTTACACGTAAACATGTCCTTCCCAGCGCATCACACGAGGAGCGGCTTGATGTCAGTTTATCCCACAACTGAGATTGTTACTTAGATAAGGGGTGTCTCCCAGATGTTTTCATAGTATATGGTTGTCTTTAATACATAGCCTGTGGAATTAATTTTTTGTTGTTGTTGTTGCAGT